AGCTCAGGGGGCAGGAGTGTATGGAGGGATGGACACTGGGAAGAGGTAACTATGGGGAGGAAGTGGGAGGGGAGCTGTTGCATTGTGGTAAAGTGGTCAATGACATGAGACAAAGTATATGTGAACTGCTGTATGGAAAGTGAATTTGCTCTGTAAATCTTCACCCAAATCACAATAAAAGTAAAAAAAAAAGTCTCTGACAAAGAGATACCTGCTTTAGGATGCCCCTGTCTGTTCAGGAAGGGGCACGGGAGGCTGCCGGAGAGTCTAGAGCAAATTCAGGAAATCATTATTTAAGGTGTTCATGCCAGAGAACAATCATAATAAATCGTGTCTTTGAAAAATTCCTGTTTTCCCCGATTGAAAACAAAAATAACAGGGGAATGGTTAGCTGACGGAACAGTGGAAGACTGACACGGAAACACACAGGGTACAAGTGTATTTACTGAGATGGAAAGATGTTTAAAATACACGAACATATTAATGGAAAAACAAAGGTATAAAAATGTTCATGTTATGATCTTGTTTTTGTAAGAAGGAATGCGTGTGTGTGTTTTCCGTAGTTGTGGTAATCTGTGGTCTCTAATCTCCCTACAGGGCATGTTACAGAATTTAAAAACTTCTAGGCCAGGCAGCCTGGCCGTCGGCGGTAGCTCTGGATCCTCGGTCCTGTGACCCAAAGCCTGCGGCTGTACTGCTCGGGACTTCAGTGTGCCCACCTGAGGGGCTCTGGAGCGCACGGCTGGAACATCTCGAGTGCCCGTGTTCTCTTTCAAATTCTCGGAAAAGCCTGGGCGTGGGGGTGCGCGTGCGTGGTAAAGCTTCTGTGGAAGCTGTGGGCCCAGCTGGTCCTGGAACTAAGAGACCAGACCTGTCATCCCCAGATGCCGCCCAGATGCCTCATGGGCACCGGCTGTGCTCTGTGCTGGTGGCAGGTGCCATCGAGGCGGCGCCGACTCACAGCGACCCCGTGGACAACAGAATGAAACACTGCCATGCCCGTGTCATCCTCGCCATCCTCGCCAGGCCTCGGCCACCGCTGCAGCCACCGCGTCAGTCCATCTCGTTGAGGGACTGTGGGTGGGTGAAGCAGCAGACCCTCACCTTACAGTGGAGGACCAGGCCTGGCGGAGGGAGGGGAGCTGACAGACAGCTCTTGACCGCAAGTCTTTCATGTGGGTGTGAATCTTCAAAACCCGGGAGCTGGCATAGCCGAACCAGG